TAGGGCACCTGGCTGGCTGTTGCTAGAGCATTCAACACTTGATCTCAGGGTTGTGAGTTTGAGCCCCGCACCGGGTGTAGAAATTACTTGAGAATAAAATCTTAACAACAACAAAAACAAAACACCTCAGGGCTTACTAGGGATCCTTAAACTTTCTCTGGCCACAGCACCCTTAGTGTCTCCGTTAATTTTTCATAACTAAACCAAAATAAACAACACTTCTCTTTATTATGTAGTGCATAACTACTTATATCCTAACCTAGTTAGTAGCGGTCATAGTATTTTGGAAAAAGAAAAGCCACATAAATTGAGAGAAAAAATAGTTTTATTTTATTTATAATCACAATGACTTACTATTGGGATATGTGACTGCTGAGTACTGCTCAGCTTCTCAAACCTTGGAATTGGATTGGAGATAAGCACCCTCGTTTCCTATTCACATTAACTTTTAAGGGGTACTTATTTATCACCAAAACTTCCAAAAACGTAGTTTCCTAAACATAGCTCATCAAAAAGAATGTAATTTGGTGTAATGTGATGCTGAAACCGAAATATCTTGAGTTCATAACGACCAGTTCATAGTGACCAGTGACAGATGTCCCGAATTGTTGCATTTCCTTTGCAAATTAAAATATCCTTGGGCACCCTTGGTGCACAGTTTGCGAACCAAATATATTCACCAAATCTCCACTTTTTACTCCATTCCATTTCACCCCTCAGTTTTATTCAAAACTACAGTCAAAGCTGCTGTAGCTTTGTAAAAGCACCGAAAATCTGCTAAGCCAGTTATGTTTTCACTTTCAAAATAACACAGAAAGCTGCAAAAACAACTGCCCGCTCACTAGCAAGAAATTCTAAAAATAAACCATTCAATACAGAGGGATCGGCAACCAGAGGCACATTTGGGGGCTCTTTTTGGCCGTGATGTGATGGATAAATCAAAGGGAGGCAAAGCCGCTGGACGCACCGGCCCTCGGGGGTTATGGGAACCGCAGCATGGGCAGCGGGGCAGCGGGGCTGGCGGAGAGGCCTGTAACGCGAGGCAGCAGGCTGGTCTGGATTGTGGGGTGGCCCATTCTCCCTGCCCACCTCCAGGAAGCGGGCATCAGCTCTGAAGCTCTCCTCCTTCCCCACAGCTGGGCAGGTGTCTCTGCCCGCCAGTCCCACCCGAGCCTGGGACGTGGGGGTGAAGGAAAGCAGGGACATCCATGTGCACCTGACCTCTGTGGCCTATTTCTTCCTCGGTTCTCCCCTCCAACCTACACCAGGCTGGACCGCGCAGGTCCATTCTCACAAGGAGGGGTTCCTTGCGGTAAATTAGAGAATTGTGGGCGCCACACCAGGTTCCTGCACTGTTGATAGTTTAAGGGACTTAAAAAAACATCTTTTCGCATAAAAACCTGGCTTTCCAAGTTACTGGGGACTCACCCATCCTGTTTTGGTGGTCAAAAGCTGACTGCTGTCGTTTGTTCCTTTTCACACCAGACCGATGCTGCCATTGCACTGTCCTATTTCTTCAGAGCATTGATCACCATCTGAAATTATTTGCTTCCGGTCTCCTGTCATTAGAATCGAGGGGTAGGGACTTTCCTAGTCTTGTCCAGCAAGTATCTCCAACAATTTAGAACAGTGTCTGGTGTGTAAGAAGTGCTCAATACATATGTTTGGAGTGAACGTATAGTGCTTGAAGGATTTGCATATAGTATGTTCTTGATATACAACAGCCAGAAAGACGGAAAGACAGAAAGACAGACAGAAAGAAAGACAGAAAGACAGAAAGAAAGACAGAAAGACAGAAAGAAAGACAGAAAGAAAGAAAGAAAGATAGAAAGAAAGAAAGAAAGAAACTTCCACTAACAAAATTTTTAGGGACAATGTGGTAGGATGAAAATGAAGAGCCCCAAAGGAGCAGAACTCCCAGGAAAGGGGCTCCTAGAATTCAGAAGAATCTCCAGATGTCAAAAGGATCAAAGGCAGGTGACAAAGCAGGAAGGACCAGAAGGAGGCAGCGATCAGCGGCGTCCAGGGACGCACTGGAGGAGAGGAGGCCGCGGCGGAGCCAGATGGCAGTAGCTGGGGAGTAAATGGGAGGCAGGGAATGCAAGGAATGAGTGGAGACAATCCCAAGGAGTTTGGATCTGCAGAGACACGGAAGGATGGAGCAGAAACTGCAGGTGTGCAGGATTGGAGGAAAGCCTTTTAAAAAACTTATTTTTTTAGGGTGACTTTTGAACATGTTTTGTAGGCAAAGAGCTGAAGGATTCAGAGAAGAGGGCTTTATTGATTTTTCTGAATTGTGTGTCATCTCTTCTTCCTTTTTTAATTTTCACTTGATTCATTTTTTTAAAAAATCTCTTCTTCCTGTATTTCTTTTAAAGTTGTACTTTTTTGGGACGCCTGAGTGGCTTAGTCGGTTAAGCGTCCGACTTTCGCTTAGGTCATGATCTCGCGGTTCGTGGGTTCGAGCCCCGCGTCGGGCTCTGTGCTGACTGCCAGCTCAGAGCCTGGAGCCTTTTTCTGAGTCTGTTTCTCCCTCTCTCTCTGACCCTCCCCTGCTCACGCTGTCTCTCTCTCTCCTAGAAATAAATAAAAATATTAAAAAAAAATAAAAAAAAATAAAGTTGTACTTTTAAGGGGCTCAAAGTCACAACCTCGAGGTCAGGAGTTACGCGCTCTTCCAGTCAGGCGCCCTGATCTCTCCTTCCTTTAAATTCACCCGTGCTTCCTTTATGGCAGGCACTCAGACTCGTCACATAGATTCTCTACTAGAGTTAGATCTCAGAAAGGCAGGGCTGTGCTTCACACACATACACACAGTAAGGGTATAAGTGTGACCCGAACGCGGCCTTTGGTAGACCTGACTTCCTATAAGCCCTGCTTGCCCACCTCGGGCCGGACTCAGTGCTTCGCCACACGCCCACCACTGAAGTCCAAAAACACTGGCAAGTAACGCAGATGGAGACGGACAAGAGGCTTTACTACCCATCACACAGCACACCTCAACCAGACTTTTCTAAATAGAAATCTATGTTCGCAAGGGTCTTCTAAGTTCTCCCGCATCTTTCTCCAAGGTCGTCTGTCTTCTCCCCCCCCCACCTCCACAGACTCTTCAGGTCCTCCTCGTTGCCCTCAGCATCTGAAGGCTCCCCCTCTGCCTGCACAAGTCAGAACCGGGAGCACGCTTTGTTCTTCAAGCATGCCGCCCGGAGACTAGTTTATCTTACAGCCATGCAGGTGGCTGTACGTATGCGCGTCTCTAACGTTTCCTAAATGTCTCCACCAGTGCTTCTCAAAGTCTGGTCCACAGACCACCTGCATCAGAAGCGCCTGGCGTGCTTCACGGGTGGGTTTCTAGGCCCCACACCTCCCGAATCAGGGTCTCTTGGGGGGGTGGGGTGGGCAGGTGCCTGTAAATGTTTGAGAGCCAGTGGCTGTGCACTGTGCTACGCCTGGGCAGTATGCTCTTTCATAACGTTCTGTGGCCTTCGATGCGTCCCCGGACAGCCCAGCTCTGCAGGCATTCAGACCCGCGCCCGCTCTACCAGAGCAGACTTCCACCTACACAGGCCGCGGCCCGGCAGCTCGGTCCTCCCCGTCTGCTTGTGCCTCCCGCTGCCGTGCTCCTCCCCCCTTCTCCTCGTCCACCTCCCGGCCTGCTCCAGTCGCCCCCCCACCCCCCGCACAGCTCAGAACCCCTCCATCACACTGTCCCTGGAGGACACGCTTTCCTGGCCTTAGCTGTTCCATGAGAACATGATCGGCACTGCCTGAGCGTCCGCGTTGCTGCCTGAAGAGATGGTAAGAGTCTAAGGCTGACTGGGCTGTAACTTTTCTTCTCAGAGCAGCTGGCAAAGAAGTGTGTCCCTGACAGTTCTGGCGCGGTGAGTGAGTGGAGAAGGGCAGTGAAGGAGGCTCCAAGCAGGTGGAGCATCTTCCCGGGGCTGGCCTTGTCTCCACTAGGATGTCCAGCCCCCTGAGAGCCTTCCCCGACGGAGTTCTGGGGAGCACATAGAGGTTACGAGAAGGTAAGGAGACGAGCTCACTCTGAGGAAGGAGACAGCATTTCCAGAAAGCAAAAGGAAATCCGGATTCATTTTAACTTGTTGTTGTTGTTTTTTTAAATCCAGTCTTGGTATTTAAAAATTAGCTTTTGAAGACAACAGCCCTAATGTGAGGAATAGAATTACCACTGCAAGTCGGCGAGAGTATACTAAAAAATGTACTTCTCTCCCCATCCACAGATGCAAACAGACCCTTTGGTAACAGGCAGAGGGAGAGGAGGAATCTGGGAGCAGGGGCTACACACAGAGGGTCCTTCTTTTGGTGTAGGCTCCTCCCCTCTGGCTTCAGATCTTACTGCTGTGGCCATTGGAAAACTTTGAATTGTTGGTATTTTATAAAGGATAGTGAAGGCTGCGGGTAGGTCAGAGGTACGTTCCTAAAAAAGAACCCTCCTCTCTCTCATGTCAGGCTTGCAGGCACGGCTGATATGATCACTCTCGCCCACACCACACCGGTCACACCACCTCTTGACCGGGTTTTGAGGCCTCCCAGCACCCTACCCCATCCTGGATGCATTCCCATCGTTCTCCGTGTGACTTGAAGGAGCTTTTCTCTTCATTTTGTAATTTCTATTCTCTCACTTAGGAATATAAGAGTCCCTGCTCTGTCAAGGAAACCTCCTTAACAAATGTACATCGTAAAGGTATGAAAAAAGTTAACAAACAACAATGGGTGCTTCTATGTTCCGGAAGAGAACCACTAAATATCATGTCTAAAAGACAACTGTTCACGCCTTGGGTCTTGTTTGGGTACGTTGTGACCTTCTTGGAAAGCAGCAACGGAAGCATTAGGAACCACAAGATCTACCCGTCGATCTCTGGAGTAAAATATTGTTGTGATCCTGTGGTCTGATAAATGTCTTTCTTCCCACTCATGGGGCAGAGTTCATGTTCCAGAAAAAGTAGAGATGAAAGCAGTGCCATTCTAAAGACTGTAGGAATATTTTAATTCATATGTTTTAATTCATTACGTAATAATAATATCACAGTCTATTTTACAAGTTAGATGTATGAGAATGTATGAAATAGAAGTGGTAGGAAAAAAACGAAACATAAGTCAGGAATATGAATTTTTCCAAAACCAGGAGCCAAAGGAAAATGTGTTGCCTGCAGGGCCCAAGGAGGAGGCAGGGAGGGGTGGGAACAGCATCGGCTCTCGTGGTAAGCGTTTGTCTCTGTGTCATCCTGGGAAGGACTCGAGGCTCACCTTCTACCCTGGCCTGGGGTTGGGAGTTTAGTCTGTCAGTGGAAGATGGCGGCTTGGGAGGAAACAGCCATCTGGTTATCTACACAGAACTGGTCCACTGGTGGCTGCAGGTGGGTTTTGCCGTAGAGGGAATTAGGGGTGAAAGTGCCAAAAATCAAACGTGTGGAGGAAAAAAGTAAACAGTTTCCTCCTCCCCCCCCCAAACCCAAATTCTTGAAATGCACACATATTCTTCTCTCAAACGTAGAAAAGTCTCACTCTGGATGTGCTTACAAGAAGATCGTCGTCAAAAAACTTTGTCTCTATGATAACATTCCCACTATAAGTAAGAAGAGAGGGCAAAAGAGTGAGTGTGTTAGGTAACAGATTGCATCCTCACAAAGTGGTTTCAATTTGGGTCTGCCGGGCCCAGGGACATGCACCCACCTAGAACCTTGGCTTCGGGACACTAAAATTTATGTCTAAAGGGGGTTAGAAGTCTAATGTGACATTTAACTTTTAACTTTGTGATTAGATTTTTCTTCAAGTTCAGAAAACAGAAGGGAGAGCATACCTTAATCTTGATATATATACAGTCCTTAGTGGAGGACTCTGCACACAGGGGTGCTTATAAATGTGACTTTTTTTTTTTTTTTTTTTAAATACAACTGACTTTTTGATACACCTGGAGACCTACAGGCCTCAGGGGCGGTATCTTCCCTCCAGCACCTGCTCTGGTGGACAGCTGAGGGTTGGCCTTGCCTGCATGTGTTCTCATCACTTTGGGTAAGAGCGCTCTGCTTTCCTTTTGGGGACCCACCCCATCTCCAGTCCATGGGTCAGTCAGGCAGCCCCTCCTTCACCTGGTGAAGAGGTGGGCACAGGACATAATTTGGGCCAATCAGACTCTCTCCCCAGAGCAGGATACTTCCTGCAGCTGCTCCTGAAGGAAATCATACACGGATTCCTTCCTGCCATCCGCATCTTTTGAGCCACCCAGGCCTCAGGACACCCTCCACCTGTCAGCTCTGTCCTATCAGCTGGAGTCACTTTCTATGGCTTGCAGCCAAAGAACCTCAAATGATACACCTGGATTGCACAGAGTGGAACTGCATTTTTCTTGGTGGGTATCTCAGTGCTTCCAAACCAAACCACTCTTGAACCAAGTTAAGGGCAACAGAGGAACTGATTTTGGGTTCCAAAAAGTAAGACATGACTGAAATAACCTAGATATATCATCACAGACTTACTGGTTTTCATACCTGAAAGAAATCGGGCCTGGCCAAGGAGGAGCCAAATGAAGGTAATAAAATATAAAAAATGCCCTTCTATATACTACCCTGGACTTTCCCAGGGTAATTAATAGCCAGCAGATACATTTTTGCTGGTAATTAATTATAAAGTAGGTACATAAGAAACTCAAGATTTAAATGGCTAATAGGATATAAAGACACCTCCTACTGTAATTAAAAATCTACAAAGGACTTATAAACAACCTCTATATTCAGTGTGGCTTTCACTAAGGATGTGTTTAAAGGGACAATCCAATATGAAACAATTATCTGTGTGAATAACTCACTACAACACAGTATTACTAGAACCTTTGAAGGACTAATACCTTTTTCCAAGAGACAATGGTAAGTGGTCTGTTACTGCCAGTGGTTTTGGACAAAGGACAAACTAATTATTCTTTGAGCAGGAAGCGTAGCTATTAAACATGGTAAGCCAGTCTCTGAAAAACTATAACCAAAGATTATCCTCTAAAACATAATTAGAACTTTGACAGATTCCATTAAAGGCCATTCAAAAAATGTACAGAGTAGGAGACATTTGGCAGTCGGGAAAGTGAGCAAAGGAGCACAGACTTAATATACAGCATATGCCAGTGTCCTTCCATATCATCTCCTTTTATCCTGACTACACCTCTGTGAGATAGAATGATTCATTCTATGTGTAGGGAGGAGAAAAATAAGGCCAGGGAGATAAATATTGTTCAAGGTTGCACAGCTAGTCAGGGTTAATCAGGAATTTAGTCTAAAGGTCTAATCTAAAGATGTTTATTTTTTCCATTTGATTACACTATCTTTTTCATATGACAGTAACCCATAAACCTGAATATCTCTGGATATTCTTTACCCTTATTTTCAAACCAGGCTGCTCGCTGGCCAGGACCACAAGCCCCCCCTCCACCGCCTGGAACGCCTGCTTCTAGAACCACTCCCCAGTCCCCGTGGTCGGCTCACTCACGTCAGCACGCTGGCAGGCATCATCTGGGACTCGGGTGCTGCCTCGATCAGGGACTGCCAGGTGTTCGTGGAGTTGGGGATCACAAAACCAAACTCGAAGAACCATTCTGAAGGAAGAAGGAAAAGCAGTAAGTGAGCGCCCCACAGTCTCAGGACTTTGTCCGCACCCATTTAGAGTGAGCCTCTTACCCCAAGAACCATAAATCCAGCCATCAGAAGCCTCTGGCGTCAGAGGCATAAGAAAGGACAGGGGAGTCCCCTCAGGCTGTCCTCTGAACCACACCAGAGGCTTGCTGCCCATGCTCCGGGGTCTAAAGGACTAGGACCAGGGGACAGATATGCATAAGCAACGCCTTCTTAGAAGGAGGCTGTGTGTAAATGATAGAGAAGGACAGAATTGGCCTTTTACTTGGAATTTCAGCTCTAACACACATACGTGCACTCTTACAGTCCATGGTAGAAACTCAGTGCAGAGCGGCCTTGCCAGTCAGAGCCGTACGAGGCTGTATGGAGAGCACCGTACCAGGCCCTAATCGGCGGCTTCCTCGTGACCTCGTTACAATCCACCAGTGATAAAGCAGGCGCCAACCCAGGCCCACCAGGGTCAGAAACCCTTTTGTTGGGCTCAAGGCCCCTTGTCGTCAGCTTTGTTTTTGTTTCTTTTTGCCGGGGGGCCCCCAGTCTCACAGGGCGTAGGAATCCTGTCACAAACTGAGTTGCGAAATGAAATGAATGTTACCAAAGCAATGCTTTAGTTCACTGGGTCTTGCTTTTTTCCCTTCATGCTTCTAGGCATGAAGGCCACAGAATACCTTCTAGGCATTGCCCTTTGAAGTAAACTTTTTGTTCCAGGCGGAATTTTTCCATTTGCTCTGCTGAAGAGAAGTTCAATTCTCGAGACACTGCCTTGCACTTCAGGATTTTCTTGGGAACACGGGCTAGAAGAGAAAAATATTGAAGCCGCTCTCAGTGAAAATCATACTGATGCACTGGTCAAGTGCATCTGACTGGAAGAGCGTCGAGAAGCACAGATGTGGTGCCTCTAAGGACCTTCCCTAAGCTGCTGTCATCAGGAAGTGGGCTGAATAGGCACCTTCTCTACTCGGTTCTGTTTGTCTTAACCCCTCTGTTCTTTTATTTCAGGGAGATAAAAACGCAAATTTTCTTTCTTTCTTTCTTTTTTTTTTAAAAAGGCAAAATTAAGATCTTAGTTTATAACTATAGGTATGTTCTGATGCTAACATTTCAGCACAAAGCAGACCTTGGGAAGCGAGAGAAAGAAACGTAGGAAAGGAACTAGAAAGCTCAGCAAGACATGCTGAGCCTGCAGGGGCTTGCTCCCCCCCCCCCCCCCCGTTAGAATCTGCACTAATTCAGCTCCCTGATGCTTGGGCCCTGCTCCCGAAACATGAGAGCCTTGTGCAGATAAAGGCTTGGAGAGTACCTTCATGCTCCACGCCAGGAACTGACAGGTCTTCTGTTCCTTGCCACAGTATCTTCCCTGTCTCAGCATCTCGGAGGTTCATCCAGTTTCTGATCAAATATATTAAGGAACAATAATGCACTGAAAGTGACTCTTACTTTGTACTCTAGATGTGTTCTAGCTCTCAGATTTGCTCCTACTGACTCCTGTTTAGTTTTTAGGAAGTCGGCCTATCTGCTAAGTGCCATGAAAACAAAGAAGAATGTGCAGGAGGGTCCAAAGGACATCTAAAGAAAGACCTTAGCAGAGACCCAGTGGAGATATTTTTATCTACAACATAAGAACCAAAGACTGTATACACCTAGAAATTGCAAGAAAGGGGGTGAAAATAAATAGTGCAAAATTAGAAATTTTCCAACAGAATCAGACCAGCCAAGATAAAAGACCTCAAGAGGGGCGCCTGACTGGCTCAGTCAGTTAAGCGTCTGACTCTTGATTTTGGCTCAGGTCATAATCCTGGGATGGTGGGATTGAGCTCTGCACTGAGTGTGGAACCTGCTTGAGATTCATTCTCTCCCCACACCCCCCTCTCTCCTCTCCCTGCCCCCTCCCCTGCTTGTGTGCTCTCAATAAGTAAATAAACCTAAAGAAACAGATAAGAGAGGTATCCCAGTAAGTGACTCATGCAGACCACTCCACAGTGAGGATCATAGCCTGTAAGTTTTACTCACAAGTCCGGAGCTCTCACGTACCTGTTTAGTGGTCTGCTCTTAAATACCAGAAAATAGACAAGGATCACCAGAAATTGAGGAAAGCATTTACTATTAAAGATAGACCAAACTAAGGAGGAAAAAGCAACTTAGAGGAAAAAAGAGAATATAGAGGAAGATACAAACTTTTAAAAAGACACATTAAGAACAAACAAAACAGCCAGAGATGACATAACCCTTACAGACACTAAAAATTATATAGAGTTGAATTTTGTATATTTTAGGTGATTTTCTCTGGCTCAAGCTTACAATTTTTTAAAAAGTTTATTTATTAAAAAAATTTAAATGTTTTTATTTATTTCTGAGAGAGAGAGAGAGAGAGACAGTGTGAGCAGGGGAGGGTCAGAGAGAGAGGGAGATACAGAATCTGAAGCAGGCTCCAGGCTCTGAGCTGTCAGCACAGAGCCCAACACGGGGCTTGAACCCACGAACCTTGAGATCATGACCTGAGCCGAAGTCAGATGCTTAACCGACTGAGCCACCCAGGCGCCCCTATTTATTTATTTTGAAAGACAGTGAGCAAGAGAGTGGGGGAAGGATGGAGAGAGAGAGAGAGAATCCCAAGCACAGAGGCTGAAGTGGGGCTAGAACTCATGAACTGTGAGATCATGACCTGAGCCGGAACCAAGAGCTAGACCCTTAACCAACTGAACAACCCAAGAGTCCCAAACTTATAAATTTTGAGGTTAGTTGATTGATAATTTCTTTTTGTCATAAAATGCCTTCTAACTTAAGTAGTTATATTTTCTAGTTTCTGTATTGGTCATCATACAATAAATGAGTCAATAATAAATAGCAATGAAAAAAAGAACATTCAGAAAAAATGTTAGAAATAATGTTAGAAAAAATACATATTTTATTTACTTATTCACATTTAAAAATGTTTATTTACCTCTGAGAGAGACAGAAAGCATGAGCAGGGGAAGGGCAGAGAGAGGGAGAAAGGATCTGAAGTAGGCTCTGCACTGACAGTGGAGAGCCTGATGTGGAGCTTGAACTTATAAACCACAAGATCATGACCTGAGCTTAAGTCAGACATTTAACTGATGGAGTCACCCAGGCATCCCAGAAAAATACACATTTTGATAGCAGAACCAAACAACTCAATGCAAGGGTTAGAAGACAAAGCTGAGGAACTCTTTCAGAAATAAAAATAAAAAGCCACAAGGATAGAAAATAGGAGAGTAAAGATACAAAAACTGGGTATCAGTCTAAGAGGTCCAACATCTAAATAACAGCAGTTCAAGAAAGTCAGAAGAGAAAGACCAAGGAGAGAAAGTCATTAATGAGTTAATTCACAAAAATGTCCCAGATTGAAAGAGCCCAGCAAATGCCCAAGTCACATCACAGCGAACCTGCAGAACATCAATGTTAAAGAGAAGCTTCCAGAGGGAAAACAAGCTGTCACATAAAAGGTCAGAATCAGAATGGAAAAAAAAATCAGAATGAATTACACTTTTCAAGAGGCACTCTGAAGGATAGAGAAAAAAATGAAGCAGTGACTTTAAAATTCTCAGGGAAATTCCTGAAACTAAAAAAGGATTTACTTTCTCAAGAAACTAATGATAATATGCTACTTGAAAATGACAGGTGAAGACTCCGGAAGAGGACGATACTGAATCCAGGAAGCAAGGGATCAGAAACAAGATACAGGTGAAGGGGTCCTCTGGGTGATTGTGAAGGAGACCCCAGAACAACAGCTCCTTAGCGGACCCGGAGGGCAAAGGTCAAGGGTCTAGACCAAAGCAGATCAGAATGCTGAGGGAGAGGGGCGCCTGGTTGGCTCAGTCCGTTAAGCATCTCACATTGGCTCAGGTCAGGATCTCATGGTTTGTGGGTTCAAGCCCTGCATTGAGCTCTGTGCTGACAGCTTGGAGACTGGAGCCTGCTTCCCATGCTGTGTCTCCCTCTCTCTCTGCCCCTCCCCCGCTCATGCTCTGTCTCTCCCTCTCAAAAATAAATAATCGTAAAGAAGAAAAGAAAAGAGGGGTGCCTGGGTGGCTCAGTTGGTTAAGTATCCAACTTCGGCTCAGGTCATGATCTCACGGTTCATGGGTTCGAGCCCCCCATCGGGCTCTGTGCTGACAGTAGCTCAGAGCCTGGAGGCTGCTTTGGATTCTGTGTCTCCCTCTCTCTCTGACTCTTCCCTGCTCACGCTACCTCACTCTTTCTCTCTCTCTCAGAAATAAATAAAAAACATTTAAAAAAAAAAAAGAAAAGAAAACACTTAGGGAGAGATTTTAAGAAGATGAGATTCAAAGACTATCTAATGTGTTTATATGGAAAGATTTATACCATTAGGAGAGATTTGGGGGTTAAATTAGAAGCACAGAAAATTTAGCCAAATAAATAAAAAACCAAGACAATAACCATCACCAGGGAAAAATCAGAGGTAGTATTGGAAGAAAAGAGTAGTTACGGTAGCAAGAATGTTGACATAGCCATAAACATAGATCATAGGCCATGGATCCAACACCATTATCTGAGAGGCTGGGAAAGACGAGCATGTATGTGATGAGGCAGAAAGTGCGGGAAAAGAATGAAACTCCTTTTCCAGAGTGGGAAGTTGGTAAACAATGCCAAAAACGGAAACATTAAGACACAGCCACAGGGTGCAACTCAGAAATATGAAGATAAATACCAAGTAAATCAGCTAGAAATTGAAACCAGTTTTCTCTGGGGAGTAGAAAGTAGGAGTGGGAGGGCACAGAACTCTGCTCATCATTCAAAACCAGGTAGAACTGGGACACTGAGCAAGGCACACACACAGCTGTGACAAACAGACTAAATTTAAAAAGATAGTACTGAGTTTTTTTTTTTTTAAACAATGGACAAATAATTACAGAAAAAGAAAATTAATGTTATCTATCCATGGAGGCTAAGTCTGAGAGAAATGGTTAATGTTTGTAAAGAGACTGAGCTTCAGATATACACAGTTAATATGGTTGAGATGTCCTGTGTTTTCACTTTCTGCTGTTTAGCAACCAAACCCTCTTCCCAACAGCACCCTGCAGCTTCCATGCCCCATGGGAGACAGCCAGTGCTCTGCATCACTGTCACAGAAGATCCAAAGCCTTCTCTTAGGAGCCTGGGACAGCAGGGGGTAAGCACATGACCTTGGCTTGGATGCCTGGGTACCAGTTCTGGATGTCTGGGTACCAGTTCCTCGACTTGAAGAAAAGTCGGCAGTTCTTGAGGAAGGGGCCACGGGTAGTGCTAACCCCACCTTTCCAGCGTGGCTGTTGCTGCAGGTCCTGGTCGTCTGACTGCCAGTCAGTTCTGAAACCCCAGGGAGCCTCCAGCCTTTCCCATTGTTTGGGTAGTTTGGGGTATTGAACCCTGAGCGGCACAAATGGTTAGCATCACTGTGCAGGTAATGGTATATTTAACCCTCTGGAGAGATTCTTTCTAGGTTTTGCTGCTGCAAGACAGAAGTCACAAAAGATAACCAAGAAGTCACAAAAGATAATCCAGTAGAGTGCCTTGAATGTGAGGGGAACACTAGCTTCCTGTGGCACGCACCTGCTTGTGCACTATCCCATCCCCCAGGAACCTCCCACTGGTGTGCTACTCTCCCGTGGGTGTATGCAATCCTAACAGTCTCCTTGTACGCTCATTATATGATCAGATACTGCTGCTCTTATACACCCGTGTTGTGTTCTCTTCTCTGCTTCCTATTCTGAAATTCCACTTTATCTTACTTTTAATGTTTATATATTTATTTTGAGAGAGAGAATGAGAGAGAGAGAGATAGTGAGAGCAAGAGAAAGGGGAAAAGGTAGAGACAGAGTCCCAAGCAGGCTCTGCGCTGTCAGCGCTAAGTCCAATGCAGGGCTCGGTCTCAGGAACCCAATAGTCGGATGCTTAACTGACTGAGCCACCCAGGTGTCCCTAAAACGCCAATTTTTTAAAAAAATATTTTTTTATTTATTTCTAGGAGAGAGAGGGAGAGACAGCGTGAGCAGGGGAGGGTCAGAGAGAGAGGGAGACACAGACTCTGAAATAGGCTCCAGGCTCTGAGCTGGCAGTCAGCACAGAGCCCGACACGGGGCTCGAACCCACGAATCGCGAGATCATGACCTAAGTGAAAGTCGGACGCTTAACCGACTAAGCCACCCAGGCGCCCCAACGCCAATTTTTTTTTTAAATGACTAAATTCAAAAGCAAGTCAAAAGTATACATACTTGCTTATTAGATCACTTTTTAAAAATTTTTTTTAATGCTTATTTTATTTTTGGGAGAGAGAGAGAGAGAGAGAGACAGAGTGTGAGCAGGGGAGGGGCAGAGAGAGAGGGAGACACAGAATCTGAATCTGAAGCAGGTTCCAGACTCCATGCTGT